CGTTTGTTTTACAATACCTGCTACCTGCATTATCCATTAAATCCAGCAATACATTTTAAGTCTAATAATAATAAATAATTGTGTTCGTTTGATTGTTTCCATGTACAGCTTCATGTAGAATGGGATATTATGTTGGTAATTTTAAAACTTATTTCGATAAGTTGTAATAATAATATGTTTTGTAATATATACTGTTCAATATCTTGGAAACATGTTTAAACTAAGCATTCCAGCTTGATGCTTCAAGCCTGCATCTTCATTATAAGTGTTAATACCTGAGGTTTTGGTGCATTAGCTATTGTCATGATTGATGCTTTCTACAGGTTGAAGTGGCCTTGTCGCCCTAAAGATGTGACAAACATAATGTGTCGCACAGTCATCTAAGTTACCATGCATAATGCATACCATATACATGGGTATCTATGAAAAAGTACATTGTGACTAAGCCACATTTGCTACGAACAAGGTAAAGTGTCATGGGTTGCGTCTTCAATATGATTTCATTTTATAGCATAGTCTTAAGTTCACGCTTATGTTTCAAAATACAGCAATTGGCATTGAAGGTATAACCTACAGAAACTCAATATATGGGTCAGTATCATTGTATAAAATTTAAAAGAATACACATGTATATTGTTTACGTTTCCAAAGATGCCAATGTATGATACTCACATAATAAACATCAATGAAGGGGACATCCATATTGATGTATAACCAAGGCACAATATGCGAAGAGATTGGAAATGCATTGCTCAAAGCCTATACTGGTGACCAGCAGCATTGTATAAACAAACAACACATTCTTCGTGCTCTCCAGTCCTACTATAGATAAAATCTCACCAATGAAGGCGTTATCAACTTAACGTTATGAATATTCAAGACGCAAAACGCGACGAGACTTAGAAGACATCGCGACACAAAATCAATTACTATCTTGTCACAGTCTGAAGAAGAAGTAAGCTTTAAGTGGAAGAGAGTGGCTGACAGTTGTAGTTCATGTAGGCCCCAGCCGCCGTGTACAGCTCCACACTATCACTTAGTAGTCATGTCCAATTATTCTCAAACCAATACACCCGTGTTGTAATGCAACTTAACTCAATTATTCCTATAGAATATTCATTTATTCTCGAATTTGTGTTTTTATTCTTAAACCAATTTTCGTCTGTCACTTCTGCTTTGCGGAATAAAGGGTTATGCAATTTCAGCACTTAAGATATCTCCGTCGTTCTCCGTGATCCGATGAGTCAAACCATTTTCGTCCAATTTCCATCCCCTTTGAGGATCGGCTGACACCAAGCTAGACATGAAATAACGATTTGTAGATTTTGTTTAGGAATATGATGGACAGCTGATGCAGCTCACGGAACAATATTGTAGTCGTGGGGATACACTAGTAGTAAAATAGAGGCGTTGCATAAAATCCGGATCCTGCAGTAATACATTTCTTGTTGAATTGATAACTCTGTACTTTTAATTTCCATGTCAGATGATGTATGGTAAAAGACTTTTTGATGGCGACAGTCTGGTGGTTATAAAACGATCCTGCTTCATTCACCATTGGGAAGAAAACTTAATATCAACATTCCATTCTAAAACTAAATTATTGTTTCATAGGGTTTCATTTGATTACAATACGTTTTGGTACCAATAGCGTAATTTTTTGTTGTATTTTATAAAGGTTGGCATTGAATCAGTATCTAACACTGGCGTACATGTACATAATTTATATGTACAAGTGTAGATTCAATCGTGTGCTGTTGTTCAACTCAATATCACAATTTATCTATTTGATTGAAAACTGTTTTTGTTTTAGTTCGAATTGAATCACAAAATAATAAAAAAAAATCAATGAATTCATAAATACTGATCAATTGTAGAAATTTCAATATTTATGAAAATGTAAGATATTAAAACAAACTTGACATGACAAATGTTACGTCATCTATGTCGTTGAAAAGTGACAATATCCAGTGATTTCATTTTAAGTATCGGGCGTTATATTTCTTAAGATGGCTCCAAACTGTCCAGACGGTAACGAAGATTCACGCGAGTTCCTTCCTACAGCAGTAACACCGCCAATCAATATGAAACATGCATCTTTTATGAGAACGACAAGACAAAGCCTCGTCTCACGTGTCCCACTTGACACGTGACGTAACGAGACAATGTAGCAGACGACCGCTGGAACGCACAAAAAATTAAGAAAAATGGATCAATTATTAAAATGTCTTCCTTTTTTGTTTCCTATAACTTGTGGAAACTTGACGATGGAAAATCCTTTCTTTGGTCTGTGTTAATCTCAAACATATCCTGTGAAGATTAAAAAAAAACTCTAATTTAAAATTGATTATATCTATTATGGAAGAACGCTATACTTGCTTTCAAATAAATTCAGTGCTTGCAAGCAATATATATATATTACCACACATATATGGCAGTGTATGAATCATATCAAGTTTAGAAGTTAATCGAAATATATCGTTTAAAGCGGTTAAGGATTAAACTTTACAAGATCATACCTCTTAAATAGCCAACATCATCCCTCTCTCAAACTACTCATGCCAATTTCGGAGATTCCATTAGTAGGTTTAATCCACGAACTATCCAAAAGTATATTTTCATAATCATGTCAAACCCATAAACTAGAAAACAAAATAGTCTTACCACTACTGTGCAAATCAAACTACCCATCAATACATGTCCAGGTACTTTTATATCCATACAGTTTAGTGAGAATCTCTGAGCTTTCCAATGTCCTTCATAAATATCCAACTACGCATACTAGTAGACCTTTCAAAGGTACCCTCCACCAGAACATTTCAACCAGACTATCCAAAAGTATTCCTTCATAGAAACAGTCCAGCCAAAAGTATTTTCTACTAAAAGTATTCAGATTGTCCAGATTATTATTTCACCAGAACTGTCGAACTAGACAATAAAAACGTACTAGTGTTCTTCTATCAAAACTATGCGATCAGAATGCATTGCATTGTTCGTTCAACCAAACTCTCTATTGGTATCTTAAATCCAGAACATCCGAAAGTATCCTTGCATTAAAAACCATCAAACAAGACAATCAAATGTGTTCCTCTACTAAACCTATCCAACCCAAAATTCCAAAAGTAGTCTTCAATCAATTACCTTCCAACCAAAAATTTCAAACGTATTCCGTCACCAAACTATCTGGACAGACTATGCAAACGTTCTCCTTCGCCAACGGTGTTCAATAAAACTACCCAAAGTGATTTTTTCCACCAAACTTCACAAAAAATGCACCAGGAACACGAAGTAATGAAGCGCTTACAAAAAAAATTCAATACGTTGTTACAAAAAGCGAAACATAGTCAACATTTTACAACACCGATAGCCAACACAACCATTTGAGGCTCATTAGTGATAATATAAAAAGGTCAAAAGACAAATTTCTGTCGAAAACGTCACAAAACATAAATATCCGCTAGCACTCTTGTGTCGAAGCATCTGAGCATATCTGAAATATCTGCCTAAAATATCCATCAAATTATCCAAAATAAGGGAGGTCCATGGTAAAAGGTAATTATATGCGAAATTTCACAGCAGAAAGACATTCCAGGCTGCTTATTAAACACACGTGGGTATGTATACCAAACTGTCTTTTCTAATAAAAATGATATAAATAGGTACAGAAAGGTTGTATAATGTAATAAGGATAACCTATGTTCACTGGTCCGTCAAAACAAAATAGCGTATGTAGGTCTGGAGCCAATGGAGAATAGTGAATATATATTATATATACACATGTATTGTAGTGCACACACGTCTAGGTTAAATTAATGTAGGTATATTCACTTTCAGCTATTTCCCAATAGTAAATAAAGTGTATTTCATGTGCTATTTTAAAATGTACGTTATTTGTACACTTGAAGAAAATACAATCCATAATTTTGGTTTGGTTTAGTATTGTTTAACGTCCTAACAACAGCTATGGTCATTTAGGGACGGCCTCCTCTGTGTGCAAGATGCATGCGTGTAGTGTATGCGCATGTGTTTTGGGAGGCTGCGATATGTTCGTGTTTGTCTCCTCGTGATAGCGCGGAACTGATGCCGACTTTATAGTGCTACCTCACTGAAACATACTGCCAAAGACACCCAGCAGGACCCCCCACCCGGTCACATTATACTGATAACGGGCGAACCAGTCGTCCCACTCCTAAATTGCTGAGCGTTAAGCAGGAGTATTAACTACCATTTTTACAGACTTTGGTATGTCTCGGCCAGGGGAGAGAACCCAACGCCTTCCTCACAGGGGCGAACGTTCAACTATAGGCCAAAAGTGAGGCATTGTCAAGGGAGACATTAGGAAGAAGAAAGTTGTTTAGAAAGAAGAGAAAAGATAAGATTGCAAATTTAGTCGCCTCTTACGTTCATGCAATCGGGCAGCAGGAACAATTCTTACGCCCTACCTGCAGGGACCCCATCCAATAGTGTTATTCTATCAAACTCTTCCATCAAACAATAATATGGTTTTCATCTATCAAATATCCAATAAATTATTTTATCAAACTAACCAAGAGTAATTTTCCGTCAGCTTAATTAAATCCAATCAAACCTGGCCTTTGAACTAACCAATTAAAAGTCGCCACCAATGAGTACTTTTAAAAAGATAACGGAACTGTGCTACTCTAGTTTCTTATTCCAAAATCAAACTATCGAAAAGCGTCCCATATTATCATTGAAATACATATAAGCAAAACCTTTTGTGAATTCAGAAATTTTTAATCCAGAACATAGCTGAATTATTGGCTGCTGTTTCTCCACTGTCTGATTCCATGAGGTGACTAATGTGGGTCCCAGGAAGAGGCAAATGAAGCACCTGCGGGTTCCTTCGTTTAACTGTGCCCATTGAGATGTTAACTGTTGGTGCAATGAGGAGACTAATGTGGCACAAGAAGGCGATTATTTTAGGCCTGCTTAATGAACAATGGCGAAACCAAGCACCCATTTCAATGCTTGGTAAAAAAAAAAAAAAAAAAAAACTACAATTAGCAACATGCTTTATTAATATAAAGGGTCTTGGAGTTCCTTGACAATCTGACCATTACAGTTCTATTGTAACAGTATTGTTTTAATGGTCTCCTATTATTATCAAGTGATTAAAATAATAGCCAGCAACATGAGTACTTTCATACCTTGTGCGTTAGCTGTTGCTCAACAAATCAATTTTGTCGTCAACAATTTAAAACATGTAAAATAGATTTTTTTCTTCATAAACAAAAGAAAGAAATGGCAATTTATATAAAATTATGATTTATTTTATGAAAATATAAAAAAATCACAAAGGTATTTTGGCATAACATTCATGTATAGCATCCAACGCTATCGATTACAAATCTTTCACCTTCTTTCAATATTTCTTACACTTTTTTGAAACATTACAATTTTTCCTAAAAAAAATTACGAACCACCCATTAAAGCTGACATCAAGAAGGAAATTAAGACACCCTTTTTAGTTCAAGAGACAACAACATTAGAATCTATTGCCTCAACCTGATTGGAACAATACTAAACCTTTACCAGAAATAGTTTGACCGAACTCAGATGTAGAAATCTAAATTCTGTTTTTCTACCATGGCATGTAAACAGGTACTTAAAATATGCTGAATATTTTTGTTGATATCAATTCACTTTGAGGCCGTTAACAGTCAATTATATAATGATAATATATTTTATTCTTGATACAATAAAGCCGTGAGTTCAAACTTCTTGATGACCATCTTCGACATGTAGGGGTATAATACTGACAGGTTGTTGGTTTGCACAGATTCATAATGAATACGAAGTCCAATTTTGAAAATCAATATCATTTCAAACCCTGAGATTCTTTCACAAAATATCCAAAATTATATTAACTTCACACAATTTTGACATTTTGATAACTCTGGAAAAACAAATTTCATTTTCAAGATTTACCGCTGTAAGATTGCCAACTAACAGAATAAAACAGGGCCTGAATTTTTTAATTGAGTTTTTGGAAATCTACATTTACCTTATTTCATTTGGTATTCAAACATAAACACATTTATATATATATATATACATAGATATAAGTGATAATATATCTCTGTATGTATCTCCATTTTAAATATGCTGTATACACTTTGTTCTAAAAAGGATACAAATTAATGCTATTTACCTAACATCACTGAACATTAATTTGCCATACATGTAGCTATCTATACAATTTTATAACAAAGTAACATTTCTCTTCTTATTTCGCATGAAAAATTAGTCATCTTAGAATCCATTATTTATCTTTTATTCAACTTTTATTCACTTCTGAACTTTCAAACTCATTTTATTGAACAAGTTGTTTTTGTAATTTAACCTTTAAGTTAGTAAAAGAGAAAAACAATCTACCCAGGATGAAAATGTAATGAATTGCTTAAGAATTCTTCAAATGACTTGAACTGATTTACAGTGTTGATCACCAGTAGCTCATCACAGTGATTGTGCCTGGTTGTTCAGGAGAGGCGGCAACCAGTTTGGTTTCACTGACCCACATCAGGTGAAGGCGTGTTGGGTTACGATGTACCATATTCAATAATTGTCCAGTCTGAAAAAAAACCACAGAAATGATTTTCGTTATATGTATATTATATAATGTACAGTATTCAACATAATAAGATGCTACATGTATAAACAAAATCTTACCAATCCTGGAGTAGCTCCACATGTCATATCTACCCAACATTGGCTCCACATGTTATATCTACCCTACAGTAGCTCCAAATGTTATATCTACACTACAGTAAGTAGCTCCACATGTCATATCTACCCTACAGTAGCTCCACATGTCATATCTACCCTACAGTAGCTCCAAATGTTATATCTACCCTACAGTAGCTACATATGTCATATCTACCCTACAGTAGCTACATATGTCATATCTACCCTACAGTAGCTCCAGATGTTATATCTACCCTACAGTAGCTCCAAATGTCATATCTACCCTACAGTAGCTACATATGTCATATCTACCCTACAGTAGCTCCAGATGTTATATCTACCCTACAGTAGCTACATATGTCATATCTACCCTACAGTAGCTACATATGTCATATCTACCCTACAGTAGCTCCAGATGTTATATCTACCCTACAGTAGCTCCAAATGTCATATCTACCCTACAGTAGCTACATATGTCATATCTACCCTACAGTAGCTCCAGATGTTATATCTACCCTACCGTAGCTTTAGATGTTATATGTACCCTACAGTGTCTCCACATGTCATATCTACCCTACAGTAGCTCCACATGTCATATCTACCCTACAGTAGCTCCAGATGCCTATGTACCCTACAGTATCTCCACATGTCATATCTACCCTACAGCAGCTCCAGATGTCATATCTACCTTACAGTAGCTCCACATGTCATATCTACCTTACAGTAGCTCCACATGTCATATCTACCCTACAGTAGCTCCACATGTCATATCTACCCTACAGTATCTCAATATGTCATATCTACCCTACAGTATCTCAATATGTCATATCTACCCTACAGTAGCTCCAAATGTCATATCTACCCTACAGTAGCTCCAGATGTCATATCTACCCTACAGTAGCTCCAGATGTTATATGTACCCTACAGTATCTCCACATGTCATATCTACCCTACAGCAGCTCCAGATGTCATATCTACCCTACAGTACCTCAATATGTCATATCTACCCTACAGTATCTCAATATGTCATATCTACCATACAGTAGCTCCACATGTCATATCTACCCTACAGTAGCTCCAGATGTTATATCTACCCTACAGTAGCTCCACATGTCATATCTACCCTACAGATATCTACCATACAGTAGCTCCACATGTCATATCTACCCTGTAGTAGCTCATATCTACCCTACAGCAGCTCCAGATGCCATATCTACCCTACAGTACCTCAATATGTCATATCTGCCCTACAGTATCTCAATATGTCATATCTACCATACAGAAGCTCCACATGTCATATCTACCCTACAGTAGCTACAGATGTTATATCTACCCTACAGTAGCTCCAGATGTTATTTCTACCCTACAGTAGCTTTAGATGTTATATGTACCCTACAGTAGCTTTAGATGTTATATCTACCCTGCAGTAGCTCCAGATGTAATATCTACCCTACAGTATCTCCATATGTCATATACAATGTTTACCCAACGTAAGCTCCACATGTCATATTTACCCTACAGTAACTCCAGATGTCATATCTACCATACAGTAGCTCCAAATGTCATATCTACCCTGCAGTAGCTCCAAATGTTATATCTACCCTACAGTAGCTCCACATGTCATATCTACCCTACAGTAGCTCCACATGTCATATCTACCCTACAGTAGCTCCACATGTCATATCTACCCTACAGTAGCTCCACATGTCATATCTACCCTACAGTAGCTCCACATGTCATATCTACCCTACAGTAGCTCCACATGTCATATCTACCCTACAGTAGCTCCACATGTCATATCTACCCTACAGTAGCTCCACATGTCATATCTACCCTACAGTAGCTCCACATGTCATATCTACCCTACAGTAGCTCCACATGTCATATCTACCCTACAGTAGCTCCACATGTCATATCTACCCTACAGTAGCTCCACATGTCATATCTACCCTACAGTAGCTCCACATGTCATATCTACCCTACAGTAGCTCCACATGTCATATCTACCCTACAGTAGCTCCACATGTCATATCTACCCTACAGTAGCTCCACATGTCATATCTACCCTACAGTAGCTCCACATGTCATATCTACCCTACAGTAGCTCCACATGTCATATCTACCTTACAGTAGCTCCACATGTTATATCTACCCTACAGTAGCTCCACATGTCATATCTACCCTACAGTAGCTCCACATGTCATATCTACCCTACAGTAGCTCCACATGTCATATCTACCCTACAGTAGCTCCACATGTCATATCTACCCTACAGTAGCTCCACATGTCATATCTACCCTACAGTAGCTCCACATGTCATATCTACCCTACAGTAGCTCCACATGTCATATCTACCCTACAGTAGCTCCACATGTCATATCTACCCTACAGTAGCTCCACATGTCATATCTACCCTACAGTAGCTCCACATGTCATATCTACCCTACAGTAGCTCCACATGTCATATCTACCCTACAGTAGCTCCACATGTCATATCTACCCTACAGTAGCTCCACATGTCATATCTACCCTACAGTAGCTCCACATGTCATATCTACCCTACAGTAGCTCCACATGTCATATCTACCCTACAGTAGCTCCACATGTCATATCTACCCTACAGTAGCTCCACATGTCATATCTACCCTACAGTAGCTCCACATGTCATATCTACCCTACAGTAGCTCCACATGTCATATCTACCCTACAGTAGCTCCACATGTCATATCTACCCTACAGTAGCTCCACATGTCATATCTACCCTACAGTAGCTCCACATGTCATATCTACCCTACAGTAGCTCCACATGTCATATCTACCCTACAGTAGCTCCACATGTCATATCTACCCTACAGTAGCTCCACATGTCATATCTACCCTACAGTAGCTCCACATGTCATATCTACCCTACAGTAGCTCCACATGTCATATCTACCCTACAGTAGCTCCACATGTCATATCTACCCTACAGTAGCTCCACATGTCATATCTACCCTACAGTAGCTCCACATGTCATATCTACCCTACAGTAGCTCCACATGTCATATCTACCCTACAGTAGCTCCACATGTCATATCTACCCTGCAGTAGCTCCACATGTCATATCTACCCTACAGTAGCTCCACATGTCATATCTACCCTACAGTAGCTCCACATGTCATATCTACCCTACAGTAGCTCCACATGTCATATCTACCCTACAGTAGCTCCACATGTCATATCTACCCTACAGTAGCTCCACATGTCATATCTACCCTACAGTAGCTCCACATGTCATATCTACCCTACAGTAGCTCCACATGTCATATCTACCCTACAGTAGCTCCACATGTCATATCTACCCTACAGTAGCTCCACATGTCATATCTACCCTACAGTAGCTCCACATGTCATATCTACCCTACAGTAGCTCCACATGTCATATCTACCCTACAGTAGCTCCACATGTCATATCTACCCTACAGTAGCTCCACATGTCATATCTACCCTACAGTAGCTCCACATGTCATATCTACCCTACAGTAGCTCCACATGTCATATCTACCCTACAGTAGCTCCACATGTCATATCTACCCTACAGTAGCTCCAGATGTCATATCTACCCTACAGTAGCTCCAAATGTCATATCTACCCTACAGTAGCTCCAAATGTTATATCTATCCTGCAGTAGCTCCACATGTTATATCTACCCTACAGTAGCTCCACATGTCATATCTACCCTACAGTAGCTCCACATGTCATATCTACCCTACAGTAGCTCCACATGTCATATCTACCCTACAGTAGCTCCACATGTCATATCTACCCTACAGTAGCTCCACATGTCATATCTACCCTACAGTAGCTCCACATGTCATATCTACCCTACAGTAGCTCCACATGTCATATCTACCCTACAGTAGCTCCACATGTCATATCTACCCTACAGTAGCTCCACATGTCATATCTACCCTACAGTAGCTCCACATGTCATATCTACCCTACAGTAGCTCCACATGTCATATCTACCCTACAGTAGCTCCACATGTCATATCTACCCTACAGTAGCTCCACATGTCATATCTACCCTACAGTAGCTCCACATGTCATATCTACCCTACAGTAGCTCCACATGTCATATCTACCCTACAGTAGCTCCACATGTCATATCTACCCTACAGTAGCTCCACATGTCATATCTACCCTGCAGTAGCTCCACATGTCATATCTACCTTACAGTAGCTCCAAATGTCATATCTACCCTACAGTAGCTCCACATGTCATATCTACCCTACAGTAGCTCCACATGTCATATCTACCCTACAGTAGCTCCACATGTCATATCTACCCTACAGTAGCTCCACATGTCATATCTACCCTACAGTAGCTCCACATGTCATATCTACCCTACAGTAGCTCCACATGTCATATCTACCCTACAGTAGCTCCACATGTCATATCTACCCTACAGTAGCTCCACATGTCATATCTACCCTACAGTAGCTCCACATGTCATATCTACCCTACAGTAGCTCCACATGTCATATCTACCCTACAGTAGCTCCACATGTCATATCTACCCTACAGTAGCTCCACATGTCATATCTACCCTACAGTAGCTCCACATGTCATATCTACCCTACAGTAGCTCCAGATGTTATATCTACCCTACAGTAGCTTTAGATGTTATATGTACCCTGCAGTAGCTCCACATGTTATATCTACCCTACAGTAGCTCCACATGTCATATCTACCCTACAGTAGCTCCACATGTTATATCTACCCTACAGTAGCTCCACATGTCATATCTACCCTACAGTAGCTCCACATGTCATATCTACCCTACAGTAGCTCCACATGTCATATCTACCCTACAGTAGCTCCACATGTCATATCTACCCTACAGTA